CTGAAATTCTTCCCTGAGTCTCCAGTCTGCCAGGTTACCCTGAAGATTCTGGACTTGCTTAGCCGACATAATCGTGTCACCCAATCTTTTTAAAATAAATCTCTCTCTATACAGATGTATATGTACAGACATACACCAGTTTAGTGCTGTTTTTCTGGATAATTCTAATATGCAACAGAACCAAATACTTAAAAGTGATTAAAATAATAAATTTATATTAATTTTATCACTATAAAAATGATTATTTAAAACGTTTCTAAGAAACTTTACGATGCAAAAATATACCTTGAAAACACTATAAAAAAGTATTCGAGTAAAAAGAGAAAATTCTAAAATAATGCCTTGGTGGATGTTTGTGTAAAGGCAGATGGTTCATAAAGTTTTATTGGCAATCACTTCATATGCAGCTGAACTTAAATTTGAGTGACTTACTTTAAATTTCACTTTCTTACTCTTTGCTCTGTCATTGTCTACACTTAAAAGTACTTTTGTTGTTTATACATTCATACAGCTCTTACACATAATGCAGTCTTGCTCACTTTTGGGAGTACTAAAACTTTTTTGTTGGTGTTTTTAATTATAACATTATAGCCAAATGGAGAGTCCCAATCAAATCCCTCAAATCCCATGAGACAATTTATAGTTTTGTGTAATTATTCACAGCAGCCAAATTTTGATGAATTATTTTATGTCCAAAAGAGAAGTTACTTGCTGCAGTAGAACCCATTAATAGGTGAGATCAGGGGAAATTACACATGAAGATAAGAAGTGTCAAAAAAGCAGCAAAGTCAGTGACATCTCACCACGCCACTGAGAAGGATCTGACTGCCTGGGAGGGGGGCAGGTCCATAAGTAAATTAATTGCTCTATTTTTGAACTTTAACATGAATCCCTAAAAATTTAGTTTAGCCTTACTAAAATATATTCTTATACAAGATTATGTGCTAGGAAATATCTAGACAAGAACTGGACTGGAAAAAAACCCAAGGGAGTCATTGCAACTGCTTCATGGTAATTCTGTGCCGCTTCCAGTCGGTGAACGGAAGAATTAGGCACAAACAAGGCAGCTGCAAGAGATTGGGAGCAGGGGACAACCGTCGAAAAGGACTGCTGCCATGAGCAACTCCACAGTCTCACTTTTATTAGATAGAAACAACAGCCAACAGAAGGACCGATGAAAGTCAAACGTTAGTCACATGTCTTGCGGACAAGCGAGGAGGAGGACAAAGTTTATAGTTAACCAAGCACATTCAAAGGACTCATCTAGCTAACAACAGACGCTTCTGGGAAGAGAAAGGAGCGACAGCGAAAAGGGAAGCAGGCGATGTTTGGTTCTACCCTGAGCTGACCCGGCGTTCCCGGGTGCTCGGCTTCCCTGAAGCAGGCGCCGTTCCGCTGTGGGCCGGCCAGGCATCCCCAGCTGCCCAGCTTCACGGTCGTATATCGTCCTTCTCCCCAAAGACCTGTTGCCAGTATATGTTTTTCTTAAGGCCATATCTAAATGTGCTTGGCAACTAGTAAAATCCTCCAGGGGTTATAGTTTAAGTAACACATTGTTCCGAGGGGCAGTTGCAATTTTGCTTTGCTATTTTGTGAAGATTTATATTTAAGAAAGATACCAACTTCTTTCCCAGTTGTAAATCCTGAAGGAATGAAACAATGCCATGAAAAGACTATGGAAGAGTATATATGGAAACAGGGAAAATATATAGAATATGTGCAATATTTTTTTAAAATTTTTTTAAAAGATTTTATTTATTTATTTGACAGAGATCACAAGTAGGCAGAGAGGCAGGCAGAGAGAGAGGAGGAAGCAGGCTCCCTGCTGAGCAGAGCCCGATGTGGGGCTCGATCCCAGGACCCTGGGATCATGACCTGAGCCTAAGGCAGAGGCTTTAACCCACTGAGCCACCCAGGTGCCCCTGTGCAATATTTTCAAAACAGAATGAGATGGCAGTCCTCATGCGGTGCACAGTAACACCACCAACCGGGAACTTGTTAGAAATGTGAATTCTTGGGGCGCCTGGGTAGCTCGGTGGGTTAAGCCTCTGCCTTTGACTCAGGTCACAATCTCGGGGGGTCCTGGGATCATGCCCCACATCAGGCTCTCTGCTCGGCAGGGAGACTGCTTCCCCCTCTCTCTCTGTGCCTGCCTCTCTGCCTACTTGTGATCTCTCTATCAAATAAATAAATAAAATCTTAAAAAAAAGGAAAAGTGAATTCTCAGGGACGCCTGGGTGGCTCAGTCGTTTAAGTGTCTGCTTTAGCTCAGGTCATGATTGAGTCCCACATTGGGCTCCTTGCTTGGTGGGGAGCCTGCTTCTCCCTCTGCCTGCTGCTCCCCATGCTTGTGCTCCCTCTCTTTGACAAATAAGTAAATCAAATCTAAAAAAAGAAAAAAAGAAAAGAAATGTGAATTCTCCTACTTCTGACTCAATGAGAACCTTTGGGAGTGGAACCCAGCAGTCTGTGTTCATGGGATTCTGATAGAAGCTAAAGTTTGAGAAGCAGAGCAAAAGAAAAACAAGAATAATATAAGGACACTGGACATAAGAAAATATTTAAGCTTAAAATTTTGGTGCTAACACTTCAATGGATCCTGAAAATTTTGAATCACCATATGATCCTTATCTCCCAGAACAATGCCAACTCTTTACGCACCCACCCTCCCCCAAAGTGAATGCAGGGACTGAGATATTTGCACATCAATGCTCAGAGCATTTCTGCCAGAGTATTTCTGGCAAACGCCAAAAGAGGGGAACGATTCATGTATCTATCAACAGATGAATGGAAAATCAAAAGTTGCAAATATATGCAATGAAATATTGTTCAGTCTTAGAAAGGAAGTCTCATATATATTATTACATTAATGAACCTTGCAAATGTGCTTAAATGAGCCAGACACAAAAGGACAAATATTGTATGATTTCACTGACATGATGCACCTAGAGTAAGAAAATCGAAGAAGTGGAAAGTATAATACAGATTACAAAGGCTGGAGATGAGGTGAGGAATGGGGATTGTTTACTGGGCAGAGTTCCTCCTTGGAATGATGAAAAGTTCTTAGAAATAGTGGAGATGGTAACACAATATTGTGAATGTACTTAAGGTCATTTAAATTGTACACTGAGAAACGGCTAAAAGGGTAAATTTTATGTTATATATATTTTATCACATTAATAAAAAACTGTCAGGGGCACCTGGGTGGTGCAGTAGGCTGAGCGTGTGACTCCTGATTTCCACTCAGGTCGTCATCTCAGGGTTGTAGGACTGAGTCCCCGCTGGGCTTCACACTCAGTGGGGAGTCTGTTTGGGATTCCCTCTCTACCTCTCCAGCTGCCCCTCCCCCCACTCTCTCTCTAAAATATATCTTTTTTTTTTTTTTTTTTAAGATTTTATTTATTTACTTGAGAGACAGAGAGAGAGAGAGCATGAGGGGAGAGGGTCAGAGGGAGAAGCACACTCCCTGGAGCCCAATGCAGGACTCAATCCCGAGACTCTAGGATCATGACCTGAGCTGAAGGCAGTCACTTAACCAACTGAGCCATTCAGGCGTCCCTTCTTTTTTTCTTTAATTAATTTTGCTTATTTATTTGAGAAAGAAAGAAAACAGGTGAGAGAGATCATGAGCAGAGGGGAGGGGCAGAGTGAGAAGCAGGTTTCCCGATGAGTAGGGAGCCTGACACCAGACTCCATCCGAAGACTCTGGAATCATGACCTGAGCTAAAGGCAGATGCTTAACCAACTGAGCCACCCAGGCACCCTAAAATAAATCTTGAAAAAAACCCAAACTGTCAAGGTTACTAAAAACAAGGAAACTGTCACAACCATGAGGAACCTAAGAAGACATGGGGGCTAAATGCAATGTGATATCCTAGAAGGAACCCCGGAACAGAAAATGGATTTTAGTAAAAACTAAGTAAATCTCAATCAAGCATAACTTCTGTTACTAATAATGTATGAATATTCATTTATCAATTGCATAAAATGTACTGTATCGATAGAACATGTTAACAGTCGGGGAAACTGGGTATGGGGTAAATGAGAACTCCCTGTACTATCTTAGTAATTCTGCTTTAAATCTAAAATGGTCTGAAATTAACTGTCTACTGAAATAATTAGATAATAAAGAAGTTAATAGATTTGGACACTTTGCCAAAAAAGCAATAAAGCACATAAAAAAATAGTATCACGTGGGGCACCTGGGTGGCTCCATGGGTTGAGCCTCTGCCTTTGGCTCAGGTCATGATCTCAGGATCCTGGGATCGAGCCCCACATTGGGCTCTCTGCTCAGCGGGGAGCCTGCTTCCCCCTCTCTTTCTGCCTGCCTCTGCCTGCTTGTGACCTCTGTCAAATAAATAAATAAAATCTTAAAAAAGGAGTACCACGAATTATTATAGAAATGCAGATTAAGTAAGACTATGATACATTTATTTTAACTTAAAAAAGACCAGCTATACTTATTGTTGACAAAGAGGTATTCCAAATGGAACGCTGATGAAGAGCTGGTGGGAGTATAAAATGGCACATTCACACTGGAAACCAATTTGGCTAATTCTTAAAAGTTAAACATTCAGCTGTGAGCAACACCCCCTTCTCAGGTATTTACGTATAACATCCGTTCTGGTAGTAGGTCAGCAAGATAAACACACTGTGTCATACACAGCCAATAGAAGACCACTCAGCGATAAAAAGGAATGGACACAATAGGGATAAATCTCAAATTAGCTGTACGAGGATACACTTTAGGAGTCCATTTATAGAGTCCATTTATACAAAAATAGAATGAAAAGCAGCTGTGCAAAAGTAGCCTGTAGGATTCCAAGTATATAGAAAAATTAAAGAAATGCAAATTAGTGTAAAATGACATAAATCGCTACTCTCTCCCACATCCACCGCACTCATAAGGCATTTCTCTGCTGCTGCAAACTTGACAGTGTTTAACGAGGCCAGAGCTGTGAGTGAAGATGTCCCCACATTTGCAGTTCTCGTAAGGACTCTCACATCCGTGTGAACTCTCCGTTGTGCAGCGAGACATCCAGTGAGCGCGGAGTTGCAACTGAAGGCCTTTCTCCAGCGTGCGTTCTCTGGTGTCGAATGAATGTGAAGAGGTACCTAAAGAATTTCCCACATTGGTTGCACTCATAAGGCCTTTCTCCAGTGTGAACTCTCTGATGAATAATGAGCGAGGAGCTGTCCATAAAGAATTTTCCACATTCTCTGCACTCAAAAGCCCTCACTCCAGTGTGGATTTTCTGGTGCTCGGCAAGTTTATGTTTGCAGCTGAAGGCTTTTCCACACTCACCGCACTTATAAGGCCTCTCTTCAGTGTGGATTTTCTGGTGTTCAACGACTTTGTCTTTGCGGCTGAAGGCTTTCCCGCATTCACTGCACTCATAAGGCTTTTCGCCGCTGTGGATTTTCTGGTGCTCAGCAAGTTTATGTTTGCGGGTGAAAGCTTTCCCACATTCGCTGCACTCATGTGGCCTTTCACCAGTGTGAACTCTGGTGTCTAACGAGCGTGGAGCGATTCCTAAAAAATTTTCCACATTCACTACAACCATAAGGTCTTTCTCCCGTGTGGATTTTCTGGTGACCAACAAGTTGGGAAAGTCTAAGGAAACCCTTCCCACATTGGTTGCACTCAAAAGGCCTTGGCCTGCTACGAATACCCTGGTGGTCACCGAGGCCAGGTATCTGTGTGAAGAATCTTCCACATTCTGGGTTCTCATAAAGCCGATCCTCGTCATGGCCCTTCAGGTGCTGACGGGGGTGGGACTTTCGGAGGAAGGCCCTCCCACATTCCCGGTACTCATAAAGCTTTCTTCTGCTGGGGCTTTTCTCACGGTCCACAAGTATATGTTTACGGCTGAAGGTTTTCCCACACTGGGTGCACTTACAATAATTCTGCGCATTCTGAAAGGCCTCTCCACCTCCTGTGTCCCAGTGTGGCTTTCCTACAACATGAAGAACCTGTGGCTGGAGAAGGCCTGAGCTGGCTGGGATGGCGTTCCCACCATCCCTGTGTGTAAAGCTTATCTCTGTCACGTGACCTCTGCAGTTCTTCACAAACGGAGGCCTCCCCTCACCGCTTCTGGAAAGTTTCTCTCTCATTTGTTGCTTTTGGTGCTGCAAATGCTTTTCCCCACAAGTGCGCGGGCCTCGCTCAGGGCGTGTTCCATCATGCTCAGCCCAGCGCAAAAGGTCTTTCCAGAGCAAGCTACAGGGCTCCCAAGGCTGGGACTTCTGGGTGGGTGGGCCTGGCTTTGGAGTCCTGACCTGTGACCCTCCTACAGAATCACCTTGCTCTGAAGGGACCTCCTCGTCCTGGGCTCCGTGCCAGCAACCTGTAAGCAGAAAAATGCTGGGAAAGTGCCAGTTGACTTCGGTGGCAGGAGGTGGCCCCACTGAGGCCACAGGACTGCTAACAGGCTCGAGGACTCGAGACAGGAAGAGGAAGGCCTGCGGTGCGGAGCTCAGCCTGGCAAGCCCCCGTGATGGGAGAGCCCTGACTCCGGGGACGGACACGAGGGAGAGGAAGTGCGGGGAGGAGAGGCGGGCTCCCCAACCCTTCCTCTGCAGGTGACTTTTAACCAGGCCGGAGCTGCTGGGGACCGCTGAGCACTGACACAAGACTGGGTCCAGGCACAGAAATGGGTGATTGCAACACAGTGGTCGGTGTTCATAGAGTATTTAAAGATATGTGCGGCCATCACAATACCTCAGGATAGGCCATATGTCAAGTGTACTGCAAAAGGACCAAAGGGAAAGGATGACAGACGGAAGCCACAAAAGTGGGAGAACTGGGAAATGCAGGATTGGAAATGATCGTGGGAAAGAAGAGGTAGAAATGAGGTATGACCACTGTCCCTGGAAGCATACAGTGGGGAACCCAGCCCTGACACCACACCCATTCCCAGCCCCCAGCCCCCAAGCCCCAGGGCCATGTCCTATTTCCACTGATGGAGTAATGGCCACGCTGTCAGGCACCCAGGGGCCACCCCCCCAACTTCTTCAAGATGAGCACTTCTGTGGGACCTGGAATGGGCCAACCCAGGTGAAACACAGGAAAAGGGAGTGGAAAGCATGCCCCCACAGCGATCCTTCACACAACATCCCACATTCTAAAACCAAAACAACTTCAAAGGAGGGTCTTGCAGAACTAGCGGTCTGTACAAACAGAGACCACACTGGTGGCTGAAACTGCCAGCACAGGTGTGCCCCAAGGAATGTCAGCGAGGAGGAGGACAGCATGAAGCCAAACACTGGATCGATGACGAGCAAGACCACTGGGATTTCTCAGACAAACTCGGAGCAGAAGTGCACTGGGCCCAGACCCAGCTCCCATAAATGTGTGCTGGGAATCCAGGAGGGAAGCAGTGACTGTGATGTGGGTGTGGGAACGACAGAGCTACCCCTGGGAAAGGGAAAACCAGTGTCCAGCCCAGGACACTGGAGTGGGTGCGAGGGCCTTACCTAGTGATGACAAAAGTGCCAAGGTCTCCAGCATCACACTGTGGTACAGGCTTCTCTGAGCCTCGTCAAGGAGCCCCCACTCCTCCCGGGAGAAGTGTATGGCCACATCTGTAAAAACCACAAGCCCCTGCCAAAATGCAGACGGTTCAACCAACATGCAGCTTCTCGCCCAGGATCTTCAGCACCGCCCCCCACCCCACCTCCATCACCCCCATTCCCCCCACCCCAACTTCCCGATGTGGAAGAGATGCAAGGTCTGGTGGCACTGGGCCTCTCTCCCATCACTGCCACTGATCGCCATGTCCAGAATGCGGTAGAACAAGTGGCGGAGGGCGCAGAAAGCCCCACCTAGGCTCTGGGGCTGCAGGAAGTGGGGGCGCTCTGCTCTATCAGTAAATGTGGCTCAGGTCCCCCAGGTCTTGCCTGCCAGACAACAAAAGCTGGACTTATCTCTCCTCCATATGCACCACAGCCCAGGACCTGGGTCAGACACTCCTGTGCTTGTCTGCCGCATGTCGCTCTTGCAGCTACGGATCTGGCCCCTCCACTTGGGCCACTCAGTGCTGAGGCCCGCCCCCTGCTCTGCAGGCGATGCCACAGCTGCCCAGCACGCCGCTGTGTGCATGGGGTCCGGGCAGTAGTTTGCAAATGGAATCAACAGCGACGTGGCCCCATCCTGCCCCAGAAACCCAAGTTCCTTAGCACCAGAGACTACTAGGGTCCCTTTGTGGTTCTCCCCACCTGGCCCTGCCACCTGTGTCACACTCGCCCTCCCAAAGCTAACGTCAGTACCGCGCAGACTCTTGGCCCTCGGCTACGTCGCCGCCGCACACGCTGTCCTGCAGGCAGTCACGAACAGCCTGTGTTCACCTGACCCACACCTGGAGCCCAGCACACTGACCTCCCCACCGCAGGCCTAGCAACGCTGCTGGCGATTCCGTTTTAACCTCATCTCCTCTACCAGCCCGAATGAAACAATCCGGTCTGACCAAGAGTCGCCACAACGCTGATGAGTCCAAGGAGAGATAATGAGCCCTGCCCTGAGCTCACGGACATCTGACCGCCTTCGTGCAGACGCTTCAACACCTACCTCCTACCCTTGACCCCAGGAGCCTTTCAGACTCCACCTGCGCCCCTCAGAGGCACACCTCCCCACAACCCCCGCCCCCCACTCTGTTTCTCGCCTGCCTTTGTGATGTCCACTACCACCACCCAGGCTCCCAAAAAGGATTCAGATCTCGGCCTCCTTCTGCCCCTTCCCACCTGCGCAACCTCATGATCCCCCCTCTGAAAACTGAGGCACGGCGACACTTCAGTCCACATTCCGGCCACTGTGTTGTGGCTGTCTGCAACGTGAATGCCTCCCCAAAACTCCAGACCTGTGTCCCTCGCCGACTGGGTACCCCTACTCAGGAGTCTCCGGAACATCTGTGACATCAGTGACAAAACCTGACCTCCTACTGCCTCTGAAAAGCCCTGTGACTACTCACTTCCCCATCTCAACTGACAGAACATCCAAACTTCCAGAGAAACCCAAAGGCCTTGGGGCTGTCCCTGACTCCCCCTCCCTTCACACCCCAGATGCCCTCACTCGCCACATCACTAACCGTGGGCAACTGTGCAGAAGCGTCCAGAAGGCACCAGTCCTCTACCTCCCCAGCCACCACCCATGGGAACCTGTCCAGCCATCAGCAGGACTCGCCTGCAGTGTCAAAGGAGCTTCCTCCCAGGTCACTATTCCCACCTTCACTTAGCCTCTCATCCACACTGCCGGTAGACAGAGCCCATTCAGTTCTGGATGGTATCACTGGGCTCCTCTGCTCCAAACCTTCTCTAGCTCCTACTTCCTTCAGATCAGAGGCCCATGACCCTGTGTTGTGATTGCGGATCTGATAACTGTGTGCCCCCACCCCCAGCACTCCCCCTCCCACCCCATATTGCCACCATACATAAGAGCCTTGCAGTTCCCTGGGCATTCCAACTCTCACCCCGTCACCTGAGCAATCTGGAACCTGTGCTCAGAACGCCCTTCCACATCTCACGCCGTCAGTTGCTAGAAATAGGCAACACTCCATAGGATCCAGGGCTCAGTTCAAAACCCTGAGCTTTGGTGAAACCACAGGGACTTTAGGCCCAAGGGAGGGAGAAGATCAGGTGAACAATCTCAGGACACCACCATTCTTTATAAGGGAGTGGCAAAACCACCAGGGTGACAACTGGGGTGCGTGAAGGTCTGTCACATTCTCCATTCACCCATACAGGGTCCATAAGCATTTCTGCAAACGCCATGGGAACCTGTGGGAAGAGGGAGGCCATGAGAAAGGTGCAACCATCGTAGGATCCTACAGACTGAACTGGACCACCCCTGCCCACGCTGGAGCACAGTGATCTCGGTCTGATCACTAAGCTCTCAGCTCCTCTGACTTTGGTGCCGTCCTTCCAGCCGGGTGACTGCAGAGGGACTGAGCCTCCTGAGCCTCAATTCCTTTCCTGAAAAATGGGGTTAACGATGGTCCCCACCTCACAGAGCTGATAACAGTATTAAATACGATTAATACACACTACCCAGCAGCCATTGTTATCCATGGGATTAGCAATTCTATATGTTGTCAGTGCAAATAAAGGGACAGGGTTTTAAAAACATGGGTCTGCACTATTTTTGCTTTTTAAAATTTTCAGAAAATGTGATATATAACATTCTATGGTTGGCAAATACCACAGATAAATTAATTTTGCAATTTTATTAGGTATTAAAATGTTTACCTTATTGAAGAAATTAACTTCTAGTTGCCTCCTCATGTGTACATATATAGATGACAACTGGTTACCTGATGTCTTAACCGATAAACGTTTCATACATTCACGCACACGCGCACGCGCACACACACACACACAATGAGCTGTAGGGAGAGTCTGAGCAGGCAGCTCAGCTACTCTTCCCTTCTGCCAACAAGCCCACCTGCTACGTGATCCCCTGAAGGGCGCTTGCAGGACCCCTTTACTGGAGCACTCCTTCCTTCCTCTGACACTCAGAGGTGGAGGAGAAGACAGTGCCCCTGTCTGGGACCCATTTGCTCCCCAAATATGGCTATTTCTTGGTCTCACAGGGATCAGCTGACCTGCAGGGCTGAGAGCCCATACACCCATCCCCACCCAGGCCAGCAAACTTACAGCCTCCAGGCATGCTTTTCTAGACACAGGCCAGAACACCTTCTATGTCCCGTACGCTCCTTCACGGAGCATTAAGGATGCTGAATCCCCTACACGCTCAGTCTCAGCCCTCCTGACACCACATCAGCGATAACCACCTTAGGACTCGCTTCTTGATCTTGCCTTCAGGCCCTGCTCTGCCGCAGTGCACACCCTCCGCTCGCCTGACAGCCTAGTAGCCCCTCGCGTCCTCCAGACTGTTACTTCCAAGTACTCATGTGTATGAGTACTGTATCTCCATTCGCGGTATCTCAGCATCGCCAAGTCCAAAACCAGACTCAGGATCTCCCCCCTCCTGCTCCCTGGGCTCGCTCCCCCGCCTCCACCCTTTAGACGTTCAGGCCAAGAAGCCTGGACATGGCCCTTTGCTCGCTACCTCTCCTCACAGGTGTGGGTGATGCGGCCCGAAACGCCGTGGGTTCGGTTGTGGACTCCACACAGGCTCTCATCGCATCTCCCGCCGCCGCTCTCGCCCGGGCCCAGCCGCCATCAGAACTGCCCCCGGGGGCGGGGGTCTGCAGTGTGTCCTCCGCTGTCTCCGCTCCCGTACCCGTCCTGCTCTCCATTGCCTTAAACTTGTGACTCTGCGCAGAGCCCTCCCATCCCCGCCCCTTCCGACCTTCAGCTGACCCGGCTGCCCACGCCGCCACTGCATGCGGCACTCCGCCTCGCCCTCCGGTCCCCGCACCCGCGAGAGCCCGGTCACCCCCACCCCCAGCCCCGACTCAGGAGCACCTGCCGGACCCTCCCCCGCCACGCCCCACCGCACCGACGAAGCCGGGACCGCACGCCGGGGCGCCCTCTGCTCCCGCCCCGCCGGCCCGGCTGCTGGGAGCTGCGCGGGCGCTCCTCCATCCGGCTGCAGCACTCGGGGCGGGGAGCGGGAGGCTGTGGGCCCGGGGGTCGCAGCACCCACCTGAGCCGGCTTCATCGGCGCGGCCTCCGCCAACGACCGGCGGGAAGAGCCGGGCGGGGAGCGGCGGGCGTCCGGGCGGAGACGGGAGAGCCTCGCAGCTGCCTCCGCGGCGGGGACGACGCCTCTCCCCGCGCTTTCCATGTACTTCAGTCACGACTCTGGTCGCAGTAAACCAGAAAAGGTCCCGAGAACAACAGTAGAAACGGACACTACAGAAGCGTCGTCGGAAGTCCCGCCCCCGCCCAAAGCGCACGCACGAACACCTGGAGGGGTGTGTGTGGGGGGGGGGGTCCGTCCCCGCCGCTGCGGCCGCACGGCCTTCTGGGTAATGTAGTTTCCGCGCCGTTACTGCGCAAACGCAACCGGTAGGTCGTTCCTGACAGAGGATAAAGGCCCGGCAAAGTACCGACAGATCTGAGAAATGGAGTTCCGGGTTCTACAGGGGGCGGGGCTTTGCTGGTTCTTAAAGGGGCGATAGGCAGCTTTCGCAGGAAGGTCCGGAGACCTGTTGTTCCAGGTTCCGGGAATCGCAGTGTATTTCCAAAGGCCTGCACAGAAAGGGACATAGCACACCGTGACGTTACTTGCCGCCCCAAGTAGCTCTCAGCTACCTTGTTGCTTGCCAAAGACCGGAACATTGACCCTTTAGAATCCTTTTTACAGGCTCCAATAGTTTCAATAAGAAAAACTTCCAAAGGGCCGCCTGGGTGGCTCAGTGGGTTACGCCTCTGCCTTCGGCTCAGGTCACGATCCCAGGGTCCTGGGATAGAGCCCCACATCGGGCTCCCTGCTTGGCAGGGAGCCTGCTTCCACCTCTCTCTCTGCCTGTCTCTCTGCCTACTTGTGATCTCTGCCTCTCAAATAAATAAATAAAATCTTAAAAAAAAAAAAAAGAAAACTGACACTATTGCTCAGTCTCTTTCTCAGAATGTAATATATTTAAAATAACAAATACATTTTCTCTATTTCAAGCCTTAAGTATAACTCCTGGGCCCCTGACTGAACGATCAGAAGCATTCCTCCTGCTCTGCGATACCAGCTCTGAAAATTTAATAGGGTTTTATTAAATCACATACTACCAAAGATCCTATGAGTAAATGGAGAAACTACAAGAGAAAATTTTTAGATGTATTTTGAGCTTGATAAAAGCAAAAATGTTAATATAAAAGTCAAGGTGGCACAGCAAAACTAAATGATTAGAGGTAAATGTACAGCTTTAAACAGCTTATTAAAATGAAGAAAGATGTCAATAACTTAAACATCTATGTTAAAAAAAAAAAAAGAAAATGAGAAAACTAATGAAAACAATGAAAAACTAATCCCAAACCAAGGATAAGAAAGAAAAATGATAAAGATTAGAAAAAAAAAGCTTACTGAAATTAGAAAACAGAAACACACATGCACACACAAAACTTGATAACTAAACCACAGAAAAACACTACAAGAAAGACAATTACAGGCCAGTATCCCTGATGATCACGCATGCAAAAGACTTCAACAAAATATTAGCAAACTGAGTTCAACAATACATTGAAAGGGTCACAGACCATGATCAAGTGGGATTTATTCTAGGGATGCAAGGAAGGTTTGACATCAGCCAATCAATCAACGTGATATGCCACATTAACAAAATAAGGTATAATACTATATGATCATCTCAGTAGGTGCAGAAAAAGCACGTGATCTGGGTTCAGATCTGGGATAAATTCAATATCCATTTATGACGAAAACTCTAAAAAAATATGAATACAGAAGAAATGTAGTTCAATAGAATAAAGGTCATATACAACAAACCCACAGCTAACATCATACTTAACAGTGAAAAGTTGAAAGCTTTTGCTCTAAGATCAGGCACAAGGCAAGCATGCCAGTCTTGCCACTTTAATTAGATCAGTACTGGAAGTCCTAGCCACAGCAAATGAACAAGAAGAAAGAAAGAAGAGGCATGCAAATTGGAAAGAAGTAAAAGTGTCACTAGTCACAGACGACGGACTGCACATATAAAACCTTAAAACCTTCATCCAAAACATCCAAAAACTACTGGAACTAATAAATGAATTCAGTAAATTTGCAGGATACATAATCAATATATAGAAATCTGTTGCATTTGTATACACTAATAACAAACTATCTGAAAGAAAAATTAAGAAAATAATCCCATTTACAACTGCATCAAAAAGAATAAAATATCAAGTAATAAATTTAACCGAGGTGAAAAGCCTGTCCTCTAAAAACTACCAAGACAATGATGAAAGAAATTAAAGACAACACAAATAAATGATGGACAGATAATCCACACTCATGGATTAGAAAAATTAACACTTAAAATGTCCATACTACCCAAGGCAATCTACAAATTCAACGCAATCCCTATCAAAATACCAATGGTATTTGTCACAAAATAATCCTAAAATTTGCATGAAACCACAAAGGACCCCAAACAGTCAAAGGAATCCCGAGGAAGAAGAACAAAGCTGGGATACCAGGCTCCCAGATTTCAAACTATACTACGTATCTATAGCAAGCAAAATAGTCTGGTACTGACACAACACAGACACAGAACTAAGAAACAGAACAGAAATCCCATAAATAAACCCACACTTACATGGTCAATTAATCTATGACAAAAAGACAAGAATATACAATGAAGAGCAGACACCATATTTAATAAACAGTGTTGGGAAAACTGGACAGCTACATGAAAAACAATGAAATTGGGTCATTTTATTATACCATATACAAAACTGAACTCAGAATGGGCTAAAGACTTAAATATAAGACCTGGAAGTATAAAATTCCCAGAAGAAAACACAAGTATGTTTTTGGGTATATGTTTTTGGATGTCTCCTCAGGTAAGGACAACAAAAGCGAAAATACACAAATGGGACACCAACGGAAAAGCGTCTGCACAGCAAGCAAACGATCGACAACGAAAAGGCGACCCATGGAATGGGAGAAGATACTCACAAATTACACATCTGATAAGGAGCTAACATCAAAAATATAAGAACTCAGAAATTCAATATAAAAATCTACTCAAAAATAGGCAGAGGACCTGAACATCTTTTCCAAAGATGACTCACAGATGAACAGCAGGCACATAAAAAGTTGTTCAACACCAGCATCAGGGAAATGCAAATCCAAACCATAATGAGGCATCACCTCACACTTGTCAGAACAGCCCTTATCAAAAAGATGAGAAGTAGGTATCAGCAAGGATGTGGAGAAAAGGGAACAGTTGTGCACCGTGGGTGGGAATGTAAATCGGTGCAGCCACTATGAAAAACATATGAAACTATATGATATGATCTGGAAATTCCACTTCTAGGCATTTATCTGAAGAAAGTGAAGCAACGAGGAGACATTCAAAAACATATATCCAAAAAGCCATATGTACGCCTATGTCATCACAACATGACAACAGCCACAACATGACAACAGCCACGACATGGAGGCAACCGGGATGTCCAATGATAAGCAGATGGATAAAGGTGTGGTATGTGTGTGGAGTTACATATCTATCTAGTTCTCTCTCTCTATAAATATCTATCTACCTAGCTATATATACGGTGGTTTATGACTCAGCTATAAAAAAGAATGAAATACTGCCATTTGAGATGTGGATGGACCCAGACAGTATGACGCTAAGTGAAATAAATCACACAAAGACAAATACTGTACGACTTCACTTACATGTGGAATATAAAATGCAAAAAAAAAAAAAAAAAGAACAAATGAAACAGAAACAGCCTCACAGATACAGAGAAGGATAGTTGCTAAAGGGAAGGGGGATGGGGGTAGATGAAAAAGCCAAAGAGGACCAAGAGGGACAATCTTCCCATTGTGAAATAAGGCACAGGGATGTCATGAGCAGTGCAGCTCAGTAATACTGTAACAACACAGTTTCTGGGATGCTAACCACTGCGGTGACCATTCTGTCATGTACACGAATACTGAAGCAGTATATTGTACGCCTGAGACTTATATATTGTATGCCAATCATGCTGCAACTAAAAAAACCATCAACTTAAAAATTAGTTCTTTCAAAAGATCAACAAAATTGGCAAAATGTGAGGCAGGCAAAGAAAACAATTTAACAAAAGCAGGAATGAAGATACTACTCACCCTAAAAAAATAAAAGTATCAAAAAGGAATATTAAAAAGTCTTTGTCGGGGGGCGCCTGGGTGGCTCAGTGGGTTAAGCCTCTGCCTTTGGCTCAGGTCATGGTCTCAGGGTCCTGGGATCAAGCCCCGCATCGGGCTCTCTGCTCAGCAGAGAACCTGCTTCCCTTCCTCTCTCTCTATGCCTGCTTCTCTGCCTACTTGTGATCTCTGTCTGTCAAATAAATAAATAAAATCTTTTAAAAAAATAAATAAATAAAAAATAAAAAGTCTTTGTCTTCCCAAATTGGACAATTTGGTTGAAATGGAAAAATTCCTTAAAGGACACCAATTATCCAAAACTGACACAAGTACAAAATCTACTTAGTACTATATTAAGCAAATTTTGACTAAAAATTTATTGAAAGCCTTCCCACAAGAAAATTCTAAGGTCAAGGACCTTCACTAAGGAATTCTAGCAAATATTTAAGGAAATCCATCACTAATCTTTCAAAAACTCTTCCATCCTTCCAGAAAATAAAGGAAGAAATACTCCCAACTTTTTCTATGAGATCAGGATTCCTCTGATAGCAAAGTCACACAAAGACAGCACAAGAAATTTACAAAACCAGGGGTGCCTGGGGGGCTCAGTGGGTTAAGCCCCTGCCTTCCGCTCAGGTCATGGTCTCAGGGTCCTAGGATCGAGCCCTGCATTGGGCTCTCTGGTCAGAGGGGAGCCTGCCTCTCTGCCTACTTGTGATCTCTCTCTGTGTCAAATAAATAAATAAAATCTTAAAAAAAAAAAATCTACAAAACTGTTCTCTCTCATCAATACAGATGCAAAATACACTAACAAAGTATCAGGAAACTGACTTGGCAACACACACAAAGGAGCATAAACCATGACCAAGTGGGATTTGTCCCAGGAAATGCAAGATTAGTTTTACATCTGAAGATCAACTAATGGGTTATACCATATAATTACCCCCCAACCAAAGCCCACCTCACACCCACAGGATTATCTCAATTATGGAAAATCTGGAACAGAGTCTAAGAACAGATCAGCAGAAACAGGCAACTGGCTGTTGACAAAGGAGCAAAGGCAATTCAGTAGAGATAGTCTTTTCATCAAATGGTCCTTGAACTAGTGAACATCCTCACGTTTAAAAAAACAAAAACAAAACTGATCTAGGAGCACCTGGATGGCTCAGGAGGTTAAGGAGTAAGCATCTGCCTTTGTCGCGGGTCACGATCTCAGGGTCCTGGGATTGAGCCCCGCATCGGGTGCCCTGCTCATTGGAGAGTCCGCTTCTCCCTTTTCCTCTGCTCCTCTCCTGGCTTGTGTATTCTCTCTCAGATAAATAAAATCCTTTTAAAAATATGATCTAGATATAGAATTTATACTTGCACAAATACTTTCTCAAAATGGGTAACAGACCTAAATGCAAAACACAAAACTACAGAACACCTAGACGATAACACTGAACAAAATGCAGGTGACCTTGGATTTGGCAATGCTTTATAGACAACACCAAATACAATCCTTGAGAAAAACTGGGTGATTTGAACTTGACTAAAATTAAAATTCTGCTCTGAAAAAGACAGTTTGATATGAAATATGAATACGAAAATGATACTCACTTGTCGTTAGGGAATTTCAAATTAAAGCAACAATGACCTACCATTACACACCTATCACAATGGCCAAATTCCAAAACACTGACACCAACCAAATGCTGATGCGGATGGGGAGCAACAGAGACAATCATTCACTGCTGGTGGGAGTGCGAAATGGTACCACCACTGTGTAAGACAGTTTCTTACAGGGGCGCCAGGGTGGCTCAGCTGGTTAAGCATCTGCCTTCAGCTCAGGTCAGGAAGCCAGGGTCCTGGAGTCAAGCCCACATCAGGCTTCCTGCTCAGTGAGGGGTCTGCTTCTCCCTCTGCCCTTCCCCCCACCATGCTCTCTCCCTCAAATAAATAAAATCTTTAAAAAAAAAAAGTTTCTTACAAATCTAAACATACTCTTATTACATAATCCAGTAAATCACACTCCTTGGCTAGAACCCAAGAGATGAAAACTTAAATCCACACAAAACCTACACACAATGTATACTACAGGTTTACTCCTAACTGCCAAATTTGGAAGCAGCCAGGACGTCCCTCAGTGGGTGAAAAAATAGACAAACTGGCACATTCATATAGCGACATGTTATTAAGTGGTAACTTGCACAGAGATCTTCAGAGCAGCTTTCTTTGGAAGAGTCCCACACTGGGAACCACCCAAGCATCCACTGACAGCGGAACGGACGAGAAACAGGGGTGGCCTCTGCATATGACAGAGAAACCCTCCACAGCACAACTGAACGACCTACGGAGACAGGCGATGAGACACAGTAATCTCAAAACCGTTATGGACAGTGAGAAGGGCTACAGCCCCCACTCCCCCCAATGTATATACCGAATGATTCTGTCCACACAAAATTCTAGAAAATGCTTATTGTTCATGAATTGTGGGAAAGGGTATTAGAAAGACTGAGACAAAAGGATTATAAAGGGACACAAGGAAGCTTCTGGTTGTGTCGAATACGTTCATTATGTTCACTGTGGTTATGGTTTCACAGGCATATACACATGCTGAAACATGACACATTTCACACTTTCATGTGTGCAGTTCATTTCATGTCAATCACACTGCAATAAAGTTTTTGAGAACTAAGCATTGCCCATCAAGTCCCTATAATACCATCCCTCTTAGAAAGTCCCATCTGCCAACTGTCTTGGTTCTCCCATATCTCTCTCCCAATTTAGGAGGATGAACCCTGCCCGAATGTCAGCAAAAACCAGAGAGCAATGCAATCCACGTCCACTCCGGTCACTAGGAATGCTAGCTGGGTCAGAGAAGCCCTACCCTTGGATCTCTCTTTTGTCCATGCTGAGGTTCCTGCCTGTGTAGTGATGGCCACGACACCAACAGCCCAGGCAGATACAGGAATCCACAAACCTTTAAACACTGAGAGTGGCCTTGGCCGCAGGAGATACAGATGTCTGAGGGTCCAGAGAATTTCTACATTCTCATCCCACAAAAATCACAGGGACATCTGCAGATGCCTCTGCTAGAAGAGACACATAGCCTCTCACTGGCCACATTCATCCCCACTCCACTATCTCAGTGTTTCTGTACCAATTATGAGCCCCGCCTTGCCCTGTGGGCCTTCCAGTCAGTGACACTTGCCTAGGGGATTCTGGTCATCAGGGACTGGCTCCTAGGCAGATCTAGGAGACAGAAATCCCTCAGAAGTGCTGGGGAATATGGGACATTCCCTAGGAACAAGAGACCCAATTCACGTTTCAAGAAGCACTGGAGATCTTCACAGCAACTATGCCCTCCTCAGAAATGAACTCTGGACTCGCAGGAAATCTTGCCTTCCAGACCATACACTGAGGCACACAAAGTGCTTTGCTTTTTTCTACCAAGCCTTGGGCACAATACAAATTAGGCTAACTAGACTGAGATCTGTTCTCTGCCATCCTGCTAACCCTTCTGAGGCACATGAAGTTGGTGCAGACAAGAGGCGCTCTTCCCTTCACGGTGGAAGAACCCAACTTTTGCATAATCCACTACACACAGCGAACAGACCCCACCACACACACAACTGTAAAGACTGCCACAGCAGGCCTGTGTCACTGCACAGATCAGACCAGCATGGGGCAAGCAGTTCTAAAGTTGGGTGACTTAGAAGAAGACAAATGAGTTCATGGTGGTTACATTTACAGTCAACCTTGTTCATGAAGAGAAATCTTGTCTGGAAATCCCAGCAGACTCCAATTCAGATCCTTCTGGCCAGAGCAGGATCATGTCCACTCAGAATCCAGTTATGGGGGAGAAAGTGAGGGCCTCACTGGTCTCAGAACACTCATGATTCCCTCCAGAGAACAGGAGTGACTGACAACACACTGTGGGACCTTGGACAGCTGGGAGCAATTAGATGGCTTCCGCCACAGGCACTGGTGGTGACAGAACTGTGTCAAGATGGTTCGGAAAGTGCAAAGCACCTCATGAAAGCTTCCCATCTATGCGGTACTGACTGGGACTGTCCCCATGATACCTGTACGAATGGATGAGGCTCACCGGCTGGCTGCTGGTTCCCTCACAAAGGGTACTTGCCGATATCTTCTCTGGTGTGAATCCTATCAGGTCGAACAAGGAGATGGAACATTTTCTACATTCATAAGGCCTTTCTCTATTGTGAGCTTTCTGGAACTAAACAAGTTTAAGAGATGTAGCTAAAGGACCACCAAAACTGCTGCACTCATGAGACTTTTCTCCAGTGTGAACTTTCTGGTGCCGAACAAGATGGGAACTTCTACTGTAGGCTTTCCCACATTCGCTGCACACGTACGGCTTTTCCCCAGTGTGAACCCGCTGATGTAGAATGAGGCTAGAGTTTCGGCTAAAGAATTTCCCACATTCGCTGCATTCATAAGGTCTTGCTCCAGTGTGAACCTTCTTGTGCTGAACAAGGTGGGAGCTACTGATGTAGGCCTTCCCGCATTCACTGCACACATAAGGCCTTGCGCCGGTGTGAACTCTCTGGTGTAGAATGAGGCTGGAATTGTGGCTAAAGCATTTTCCGCATTCACTGCACTCATAAGGCTTCGCTCCAGTGTGAATTCTCTGGTGTACAATAAGGTTGGAGCTATGGCTAAAAAATTTCCCACATTCACCACACTCGTAAGGCCTTTCTCCAGTGTGGATTTTCTGGTGTTGCACAAGAGTGTCTTTACGGCTGAAGGCTTTCCCACACTCGCTGCACTCGTAAGGCCTTGCGCCAGTGTGAATTATCTGGTGCTGAACAAGAGTGTCTTTGCAGCTGAAAGCTTTCCCACATTTGCTGCACACGTAAGACCTTGCTCCTGTGTGCACCCTCCGATGTTTAATGAGGCTCGAGTTATGGCTAAAGAACTTTCCACATTCAATGCACTCATAAGGCCTTGCCCCAGTGTGAATCCGCCAGTGCTCAATAAGGTGGGAGCTCTGGCTAAAGAATTTCCCACATTCGCTGCACTCGTAAGGTCTCTCTCCCGTGTGAAATCTCTGGTGTTGCACGAGTGTGTCTTTGCGGCTGAAGGCTTTTCCACACTCACTGCACTTATAAGGCCTTTCGCCAGTGTGAATTCTCTGGTGTTGAACAAGGTGGGAACTTCTGCTGTAGGCCTTTCCACACTCACTGCAGTCGTAAGACCTTTCTCCAGTGTGAACTCTCTGGTGCTGAACAAGTGTGTCTTTCCGGCTGAAGGCTTTCCCGCACTCACTGCATGTGTAATGTCTTTTTCCAGCATGAAATTTCTGGTGCATTTTTAAGTGAGACGAGTGAATGAAACCCTTCCCACACTCTTTACACACATGTGGTATTTCTCCACTGTGAACTTTCCTGTGATTAAGTGCTGATTTCTCCTTGGACAGATCCCCACATGGTGGGCATCTACAGGGTCTTACTTCAGTACGAATTAGCTGGTTGTCACGGAGAGTAAAGGTATTCAGGAAGCCCTTTGCACTGTCAGTGCAACTGAAAAGCACCAGTCCATCCTGGTCTCCCTGGTGTGGGCCAAGACTGGTGCTGTGTGGGAAAGTTGCCATGAACTTGGTCCTGTTGTGTGGAATCATCCCACTGCCAGTGGTCTGGCAATGGAAGAGACCAGAGCTGTCCAGCAAGCCCATCCCTTCCTCCTTGCAAGTAAGGGGTCTCCATAACATGTGGGCTGCACAGTTCTTCCCGTGTGAGGCCCCACCAGCATCCGCTCTGAAGAGATCCTCTTCACTGTATCGCTTGTGGTGCTGGTGAAAGTCTGCACTGAACAAGAATCCTCTTCCACATGGGCCACATGTGTACAGTCTCTGCAAGGGCTGTGATCCCTGGTGTTCAGCCAAGTGCAAGATGTCTTTTAAGAGTGGGTCACACACCTCACATGGGTGGGCTTTCTGGATAAATGCCCCCGACTCAGGAGTCCCGAGCTGCGACACTCCCACAGAAATGCTCTGCTCAGAAAGAGTCTCCTCATTATCTGTTTCACGCCAACAACCTGAAAGCAAGAAGATGCTGGTGAGGTACACACTGACTTTGGTGGACAGCAGCAGCCCCCTCACTTATGTGTGTGTGAAATGCCGAAGAATGAGAGCACTGGCTTGCTGGTGGGACCAAGGAGCCAGGATCAGGGTGAGGAAAGGCCCACTGGAAGTCCTAGGCCTCTGAAGGTCACAGTAAGGAGAATAGGTGGGTAGAGACAACGGCGGTACGTGGTACAGCACACAGAGGAGGGGAGTCCGGCTCACTCCTCCAGGGAGTAGGGCCTTGGCCGCCAGTGCCAGCTGAGCTCTGCACAGAAGGACATGTCCAGGCCCAGGAAAATGTGACTGTGAATAAGCAGCTGGTTCTTAAGGACTATGTAAGGATCGCTGCACAACACCTTGCACATGAAGTAGCCGGCACGGCACAGCAGAGAAGAATGAATGAGACACAGAAGCCAGAGAAGGGAGGAAAGAGTCAAGAGATGGAAGACAGAAGAGAATTACAAGTGGACAGTGCGCCAAGAATGGGGAAGAAAAAGCAGAAATGGGGTATCGCTATAGGCCTTGGCAAAAAAAAAAACAAAAACAAAAACCATTGGTGAACACAAAGTAGGCTGAACGCATGATCTGAACCCAGCACTAACGCGCCACTCCTCCAGCTCCCATTCCGCTGGGCCGGGCCCCTCTGGGTCTCTCCCTGCGGCTAGAGTGATGTCAGACACACAGGGCTTTCTGACCCCCTCCAACTGGGCCACTACATGGGATGTAAAGTTGTCAAGAAAACACAGGGCAGATGAATGGTCCAGGAAGACCCCCACACAGAGAAGAAAATTCAGTGTTAAAGAACAGAACCTCAAAGCAGAACAGCCCGAGACACTCATGAGCAATGACCATGACAGTTTCTGTAACGCCTGGAGTGCTCAGGCCCCAGGAATGTCGACTACGTGACGAGGGCCAGCAGCTGGGACACCGAGGCACCATGGATCCCGACAGTTACGCGGCCAGGGAGTGCACAAGCCACGCCGAACCTGCTGAATGGACCAAAAACGCCGCAAGCCCCAAACCCACTCCTGCCAGACTTTGGGCAGAAAGTGCTGGATCTGCTCCGCAAGCGAGGGGACACTGTACACATCCCAGCCCTGGCACGCACAGCCCTCCCTACTCTGGGAACCAAAGAAGGGAAGGAGAAGAGTCACTGAGCTGGCTCTAGGGAACAGGGAATAACCAAACCCGGGGACACTGGAGGGAACAAGAGGACCTGTGGAAGGCAGCCTCTAAGATGGCCCCGAGAATGTCCACCTCCCGCTCTGCTGCCCTTGTGTAAGCCTCTTCCTCTGTCTGTAGGCGGGACTGCCTGACCCTCTCTAAGGACAATGGGATGACACTTTGAAGGTCAGGTTAGAAAAAGGCCAGATTCCATCCTGGCCATTCGCTCTGACTCACTAGCTCAGAGGGAAGGCAGCCTCCCTGTTAGGAGCTACACTACAGAAAGGCCAACATGACAAGGAACTGAGGCCACTGGTCGAGCCAGAGAGGAACTAATTCCCACAGTGCAACAAGCCACAAGAAACTAAATCACAAACAACCACATGACTAGATTTGTAAGTGGATTCTTCCTGACTGGCCTTCAGATGAGAACATGGCCCCGGCTGACAGCTTGACTGAAACGCCATGAGTCTAGCAAAAAGTGCCCAGATGAGTTGTGACCAGGTTCCCGATACTCAACGAATGTTTACTGTTTTAAGCCAGTAAATTTTGGGGTTATTTGCCATATACCAATAGACAAAGCAGGGACTTACCCAGCGAGGCCACAAGTGCGAAGTTCTCCAGCATCACATCACGATACAGGAGTCTCTGGGCTTCCTCAAGGAGCTCCCACTCCTCCCGGGAGAAGTACACGAACACATCCTCAAAGGTCACACAGCCCTGTCATGAAGGGGGACAGGTAAGCCCACAGGCAGCAGGGGCCCCCAGTCGATCCACTCACACAACCACCCCTGGCGCCTCTCCTCTCGGCTCCCACCACAGATGAGATAGCAGGCTTTGGCGCCACGAGTGCCTGCTCTCCCCTCCTCTCTGATCACTGCGAGCTGCCCAGAGCCAGGCAGGTGGGCAGACAGATACCGTGTAAGCTGTGGGTCTGCCGGGAAGGGCACCAACTCTCTGGCTGGCCAGTTCTCCTGCTGTCCTCCAGACTATGCCTCCCAGACACAACCTTAAGGCCATCTGTTCACACTTCTCCCAACACGTACACCATTCTTTGAACCACCCCTTCTTCCCAGCTGGAACCACCATCACGACCACCAGCCTTCTGGCCCACAACATAAGCACCTACAGGGCACAACCCCGGGGAGAGTGCTCTTGTATCTTTGTGACAGGCACCACTGTCACCCAGTGCCTAAGCAAGAGACCCAGTCCTTGGTCCCAAGTTTCAACTTTCTTGTTATTAACTGCACTGCTGCCATGACCTAGAGATACTCCCTCCTAAATGTAACCCACAGCTCCACCCCCTTCCACCCTACTGGCCACCACCTTTCCAACTTCTGCAACCAGTACCTCTGCCAGTACGAAAAACCTGCATCCAGCCCAATGTGTCAATGAAGGAATCTCTGGGACTTCTCAAACTAAACATGAGAAAAACCTACCTCCCAACAGAACCCCAGACAATTACTCCTGCTCCTAGCTTCCCTATCTCAGGTGATGACATTTCCATCACTCAACCAGTAAGGAAAACAAAACAAAACAAAAAACAGACAACCCCCCACCAAGGGTCACCCACAAGTCATCCCTTTCTCTCATTCACCCTTCACACCAGAAAATCTGGTTACCCTGCTTACAAAACAGATACAAAATCCACCAACGTGTCTCCCCTCCTCAGCCACCTCTCTGGGCCAGTGACCATCAACACTCACAGACTGCTGTGGTAGGTGCCCCCTCACACCCACCGCTCTGTTCTCAGCCAGAGAGCAGCCGAAGGAGGTCCATTAAAATCTGAGTCAGGTCACCTCTCTCTACTGCTCCAAATCTCCCATGCCTTTCAGCACCCTCAGAATGAGGCCCAGCTCCTCAGCCTGCCATGCCTGCCTGCCTCCTGACCCTACTCCCAAGAGACAACTAAGATCTGCAGTTCCTTGAGGACACCCAACTCAATCTTACCTCCCAGCATTTGCACAACGCTGTTCTGGGCCCAATACGCCCCTCAGTCCTCATCCAATCGGCTGCCATAAGTAGGAACGTCTCTACATAATATTCAGCCTGGATTCAGATCGCTGGGCTAGAAATGACCGCCCCGCCCCCGGCTTCGGGTGCCCAGACGCCAACGCAGACAGAGGCAAAAGTAAAGAGTGCTGAAGTATCATTACATCTCATCAGAACGCCTAATGGGCCCTACTTTAAAAGTAGATACCAAACTCCTACACCTCCCTAAGCTCCACTGCCCCCACTCTGGTCCACCCACCATTAACATTCACCAGGTCTACTGAGGTAAGCTCCACTCTGGTCTTCCTGCCCAGACCAATGTCCCCCCACTTTCCACTCTGCAGCCAGACGGAGTCTGTTAACACCTGAGCCAGGCCACCTCCGTCTTTGCTCCGAATCTTCCATGGCTCCCACTACCATCAGAATGTAAGCCGAGCTCTTCGGGTGGCCATTCCAGGCCCGACGCCTGACCACCCGCTGTGTGTCCTCACCAGATGTCACAGTGACCTCCGGTTCCTGGGACACTCCGAATTCATCCCCACCCCAAATATTTGTGCCAGCTGGCTCCCGCACCGTGGAAACCCTGGAACAGCTCATCCCATCCACGCGGGCACCAGGGACCCCGCCACATACCTGCCGGAAGTGACCGCCCTTCGCCGCCTTCACGCTCGACAGCAGGGAGCGCTGAGGGCAAAGCGAGGAAGGTCCTTGAACACGCCACCCCCTACATCCGAGTCGGTGAGGGCCTGAGGAACCCTCTGCTCACCTGAGCCCCGTCCATCAGCGCCAGGGCCCGCCACCGGATCCCGCGAACAGAACCAGGTCGCGAGAAGAGGGCAAACCGAGCAGGCCCTGCGGGCTCAGCCAGAACCCCGGAGCTCCACTAGGCGGGGAGACCTCGGGCCGCCCTCCGAGCCCGTCGCCCCTGAGTGAAGGTGCGCCCAGACTTAGGGCGCCGCGACCGGGGACGTACGGGGACAGAGCGCGGACGCGAAGGCCTCGGGAAGGGCGCAGCCCCAGGGGACACTTCCGCGCAAGGCAGCCGGTCCCACGACGGCGCTCATGGAGGGCAACAAAGGCGCGTATTATCGTCCTTCCTTCCTCGGTTCCGAAGAGCCGCGTGGGAAGCGGACCCGCCCGGGTCCCGGAGCCTTTACCACCGGGGCGGAGAGTGCCGGCACAAGCAAAAGACGTCACGATGGCGGCGCCGGAAGTCCCTCCTCAGCCGCGCCGGGAGGCGGGCAACGCCTCTTTTCCGGGCCGTCATCGGCGCTGCGTCGATGCGGCGAGCACAGATTTCTGGGTAATGTAGTTGGTACCTTGCACCACCGAGGCAGTGGGCCTCTTCCGGTTTTTTCCTGGCAGCTGCAAAGACGCCCAGAGGAGAAAGACAAGAGAGAAATACTGTCCAGTAGTAAGCAAGCTCCTCTTAAGGGGGACGAAGCCACCTACTCAGAGATCTCCTGCACGCGGTCCAGTCTTTAATCCTGGGGGACCTGCTTCACCTCTCTGAGCTTTGGGGACTGAGGTTTAAATTGAATAATGAAAATGCCTCGCTTGTGGGGCCTTTGTGTAGGATCATTAAATGTTCCCTAATTCGTTGATCCCCAAATGTAAGCCCCCGACAGGCAGTATCATCATCACCTGTGAACTTAATGAAAATCAGAGTTCTCTGACCCAACCTACACCTTCCGACACAGTAGACCCTGGGGGCGGGGCCCTGGCTTAAGCTTGAGAACGCGAACTCTCTTGAAACAAGTCGTGACCCAGCACCTGGGTGGCTCAGTCGGTTAAGCTAAGCATCCGTCTTCAGCTCACATCATGATCCCAGGGTTCTGGGATCCAGCCCCGCACTGGGCTCTCTGCTCCGTGGAGAGCCTGCTTCTCCCTCTGCCTGCTGCTCCGCCTGCTTGTGCTCTTTCTCTGTGTCAAATAAATAAAATCTTTTAAAAAGGGGGCGCCTGGGTGGCTCAGTAGGTTAAAGCCTCTGCCTTCAGCTCAGGTCATGATTCCAGGGTCCTGGGATCCAGCCCCGCATCGGGCTCTCTGCTCAGCAGGGAGCCTGCTTCCTCCTCTCTCTCTGCCTCTCTGCCTACTTGTAATCTCTGCCTGTCAAATAAAATAAATAAAATCTTAAAAAAAAAGTCATGACTACCCCTCACCCCCCCAAATTTAATAACTAAAATGGGAAAATGGTACAACCTACATCGTGGGAAATGAGATGATAAGTGCTTAACACAGGGCCTAGGGCTAAATGCGTACAAGCTGTTATTGTTGTTATTCATCGTCATCACAAAGTTCTCACATACACTGCTGTAGGAGGATGTCAGGGACCCCTCTTAGCAGGGGCATAGCATCATAGTAGCATCATAGGTGATGGTTAGAATTTTTGCATAAAACATATGCGTATACCTTTAGGTGTATGTAATTTTTTAAAAGGCACCATGGGGCTCCTGGGTGGCTCAATTAGTTGAGCGACTGCCTTCAACTCAGGTCATGATCCCGGGGTCGTGGGATCGAGCCCGGTGTCCGGTTCCCTGCTCACTGGAGGGCCTGCTCCTCCCTTTCCCTCTTCCTGCTGCTCTGCCAACTTGTACTCTCCCTCTGTCTCTCTGTAAAATAAAAACCTTTAAAAAAAAAAAAAAAGGACACTATGTACAAGAAGGTTTCATAATGCACAGGTAGGCCTATTGTTCAACACATTCTTACAGGCCATATAATGCAAAACATAGGACTATCAAGACTAATTGCTCTTGGCCTTAAGTGGGTATGGAATTAACATGGTTTCATATCATGGACTTAAAAACAAATCAGTTGTTTCACTAAAGAGATCAGTTTATTCTAGAATAGCAGAGAACTGAAATTCAGGACAGATAAGCTATGACAAAAACCACAGACTAGGGCACCTGGGTGGCTCAGTGCCTTAAAGCCCCTGCCTTCAGCTCAGGTCATGATCTCAGGGTCCTGGGATCGAGTACCGCATCGGGCTCTCTGCTTGGCGGGGAGCCTGCTTCCCCCCTCTCTGCCTGCCTCTCTCCCATTTTGTGATCTCTCTCTCTGTCAAATGAATAAATAAAATCTTTAAAAGAAATCCACAGCAAAGAAAAGCACACTGATTCCATTCATACAGATTTCAAAATCAAGCATAAAATGTATTTATTATTAGTGATACATATGCAAGGTGTCCAACTATGAATTTAAAAGAATTAGTAAATCAAACTTCCTGGACAAAGGATTCCTCTGAGGAGTAGAATGGGATGTGTAATCTGTGAGGTTCATAACGAAATTCGTCTTGCTTATGCTCTTTTTTATGCTGTGGGCTGTGCACTGGTATTTATCTATCTTTTTTTCTACATGTGTAATTTCGAGAAGATAAAATGGACACACCTTAAGTGTGTGGCTTGACAAGTATTTGCCTGTCAACACACGTATAAACCGCACCCACACAAAACCACAGGGCGCTCTCGGCAGCCCCGCACAAAGATGACCATAACTGTCCTTTCTCACCACATATTAGGTGCATCTGTTTTTTGACCTTTCTACAAAGGTCACGGCACATACTACTTTATCTCTGACGGGTATTACTGCCACTCACTGTCTTTTTCTAGGAGATGCACCCGCACTGTAGCGTGAAGCAGTAGTTTTCGTTGCTGAGTTTTCCTCCAGTTTGTGGCATGTAATTTGTTCAGGCATGTCCCTATCGAGAGCTATGTGCGTGGTGTCAGGGTCTTGGTTATCATCAATAAAGTTGCTTATAAACCGATAATCCTACAGTTCACCCTCGAACAACACAAGGGCTGGGTGTGCCGACCTAAAGTTAAAAATCCATGTATAACCTCTGACTCTTCCAAAACTTAACTAGTAATAGTCTACTATTGAGCAAACTGAGAAAATAAACAGTTGATTAACATATTTGGTGACCTCCCGTATCCTTACAATAAAGTAAGCTAGAGAAAAGAAAATGCTACAAAGAAAATCATGAGGGAGGTGCCTGGGTGGCTCAGTTAGTTAAGTGTCAGCCTTTGGGGACGCCTGGGTGGCTCAGTTGGTTAAGCGGCTGCCTTCGGCTCAGGTCATGATCCCAGCGTCCTGGGATCAAGTCCCACATTGGGTTCCTTGCTCGGCAGGGAGCCTGCTTCTCCCTCTGCCTCTGCCTGCCTCTCTGTCTGCCTGTGCTCGCTCACTCTCTCTCCCTCTGTCTCTGACAAATAAATAAATAAAATCTTAAAAAAAAAAAAAGTGTGAGCCTTTGGCTCAGGGCATGATTTCGGGGTCCTGGGTGGGGCACCCTGCTCAGTGGGGAGTCTGCTTCCCCCTTTGCCTCTGCCCCTCCACTCCCTGCTTGTGCTCTCTCCCAAATAAAATATTAAAAAAGAGAAAACTATAAAGAGAAAATATATTCACAGTACTGTATTTTTTTTAAAAATCCACATTTAATGGACCCATGCAGTTCAAATGCGGGTTGTTCAAGGATCAACTGTGTATATTTTGAAGGACAAATGCCCTCATTTCTATTGGGCATACACACAGAACTGGATTTGCTTGGTTGCAGTATATAAATATGTTGAAATTTTATACAAATCTTGACACATCAGAGTTTAAGCCAAAATGAATGAGAGCATTCTTCAAGAATCAGCTGGCTATGCGAAGCTGACAGCAGAGACCACTGTCTGTGTTACCATCTGTAAGTTGCGTGGTGCACATCCTTTGTGTTGGTGAAGTGTGTAATGAACTTCTGTAATCCCATGCATTCTTCTTCTCTGGAGCAGATGTTCCACATTTACCTGCACACTCTTGTGGATACAGATCTGCTCATCCGCATTAGGGGATTTCATTGTGAGTGTGTGTCTGTGTGAGTGCATGAGATCCTGGGTGTGCGCCTCTCTCTGGATGGCTCTATCTATCCATATACAATCATTTGTACACGTGTGTCTGTCACTGCGACTGTATCCATTAGTTTACCCTTGGCTATGTACCTGTCTCTGTTGACCTTGTGTTCTCGTGTCCGGGACTTCCTTTCTGTGGATGTTTGCATAGTCCTTCTGCATGTGTCCCAGCGTGAACCTGCGTATCTGCAGGTATGCATTTGTGCCAATGGGTCCATCTGCCTGCTAGCCACAGGGAGCACTGTTCTGGAAGCACTGGTCGTGACGCATGTGGGACTTGTACCTGGGTGTCCTTCTATGTCTGTGTCTGTCTTGTGGGTGCACGCATCTTCAGTTAATAGAAAAAACACCAGTGCCCAACTCCCGGGTCTGTGTCCTGGTGGGTATCCCTGTGTGCATCTGCATAGAACTTTGTATCTTGTGTGTATGTCTCTGGGTGTGCATGTCTACCAACACATTTGTGGTGGTTCTCTGTGATGGTGTTGTAGGGTCTGTTCCCAGACTCTGTGTGCTCCATGGTGTGTCTGAGTGTGCTCTGCCTGCATCTCCCTCTGGGTGCTCCTTACCAGCTGCTCAAAGGGGACCCAGGTCCCTTGCTCTGCCACAGCCCAGTCACCTCTAAGGGGATGCTCTGGGTGCCACTAGGGCTTCACCAGCAATGGGGCACCCTGGAACAATGTCCCCACTGGCATCTCTGGGCCCTCGGCTTGTCCCAACTCAGAAGTCACCTCCTCCAGGAGGCCTCCCCGACCAGCCTCTAGGGTGGGCTGGTCCCCAGGCCCTGGGCACAGCTCTCTCCACCCTAAACTTCCACCTTCTCTAATGCACAGGATCCTCAAGTGTGCAGAGTTTTGTGTGTGATGCGCCCGCTTCCTAATGCTACGTGGGGCTAATTTCTGTTTGTAGGATGGGTGGAAATTTGCCATGATTGGAAAGGAAAGGGAGAGCTCAGGGGGGTCCTGGAGGCCAGGTCTGGCATAAGTAGCTGGCCTGGCACTCGGTTAAACTCTGGGATTCTCCTGTCGGACATAAACAAGTTCACAGAACACCAACTTCAGTCAAGGCCACTCAGTGACCATGACAGACTGAGACAAAGACAAAACCATCCCATCATCACGTCAGAGCACAGACAAAACCAAGAATTCTGTGTGAACAATGGAAATGACCAGGTATCAACCCCTCTCCTTGGTGACCTAAGTGACAGCTGCTGCTGGAGTGACACTTCCATCCCTGCTTTGTAGAATAAACATTTCAGGATATCCCATCATAGGATCAACCCCGCCTCCTGGTAATGTCCAGTTCCAACCAAATCTCTTCCTTCCTCCCTTCCTCTTTTTTTTTAGCGCGCGCGCGCGCGAGAGAGAGAGAGAGAGAGAGAGAGAGCGCGCGCGCGCAGGCACACAGCAGGGAGCAGCAGGTAGAGGGAGAGGCAGACTCCCTGCTGAGTGGGGAGCCCGACGTGGGAGTCAATCCCAGGACCCTGAGATCATGAGCAGAACCGAAGGCAGGTTCCCAATCAACTGAGCCACCCAGGTGCCCCCCAAATTTCTACTTTCTTAAACCCTCCTACAAGTCACTGAGCACAAGCGCAGAGCCTGGAAGACACCCTGACACCCTGAGTGTTGCCCATCTCCGGGAGCGCCATATCCCCTGCAGTGCAGCAACACGTCACTCTGTCACTCTGGTCCGCGACGGGCGTCAGGTGCACTTTCAGTGCCAAAGGGCACTGGCGCCAACCACACCTAGACCCGAACAAGGCTCCGGATTCTAGCCTTGCTCGCCCAGCTGTTCACCAGTACCTCCTGCCAGTCGGCTGGTAGAAACCTCAAAACCAGTGAGCGGAAACGCCAGTTCCTCATCCCGCCCTGCCCCGCTCAGCCGTGCCCACCTTAGCCACAGGGACTGCGCCCTGGTTTCCACCGCAGGCCACGCTCGCCGCCCCGGGACCCTGACACTTGGCAGACGCTCCCAACTCCAGCCCCGCCTGGGCGTCGCGCGCTTCCAGGGGCAGCTCTGCTTTCTGTGTTTCAGTTCAATGTCCAGCTTCCCATTTTATGCAAAAACAGGGAACTCCAGGGGCGAGGGACAGGACGAGTCCTGTGGCCGCGGACCGGCGCCGGGCAGACAGGCTGGAATCCCGACGCCTCCAAGCTCTCGGCTGCTAGGCCTCCCCGCCCCCCTCCCGGTCCTCGGGGCCTTACGTTCCACCCTTCCCTCCCACTCCCGGCGTTCCAGACACGCGGTGTCAAAGCGAGTATCCCTTTTTGTGAGCTGGAGGCCAGGGCTCCGGGGGCCCCCAGGCAGTGAGGGAAGGGTTCTTCGCGCAGCGTATCTCCAGCCCTCGCAGACCCAAGCGCTCCGCGGTCCGCGTGGCCACAGCCTCGGGTCTGTGCGGCGGTTGGAGGAGGAGCGTGCCCTCGAGGGGCAGCTTTCTCTCCCACGTGACAGGAAGCAATACACGGGGTCGTTCACGACTGGAAGTGTCGTGACGGCAGAGAACCAGGAAGTGCGGTAGCGGCTATAGAGCGGGTCCGCCCGCAGCCGGCGGCGACACAGCGCCCGCGCTCACTGACCCGGTGTTGAGCAGCGCTCATAGTAAGCAATTCTATTTATATTAAAAACTGCAGATTTCCTTAACAATTTTATTTATTTATCTGACAGAGACAGAGATCACAAGTAGGCAGAGAGGCAGGCAGAGAGAGAGACAGAGGGAAGCAAGCTCGCCGCCGAGCAGAGAGCCCTATGCGGGACTCGATCCGAGGACCCTGAGATCATGACCTGAGCTGAAGGCAGAAGCTTTAACCACTGAGCCACCCAGGCACCCATAAAATTGCAGATGTTTTTATCATGAGGGAACAATGATCACCTCATATAGTTCAGCATTTGTCCTCAAAGACCTTCCCAAGGAAGGTGATATTCCCAAATGCCCCGCCTGATGAGAGCACAAAGGAAGTCTGTCCACCGGCCACTGTGAAAGTATGTGCACCTGCACGAATTCCGCTTCCTCTGGTGAATTCCGGTCACCTTTCTTTATAACAACGCTGGACACATTCTCATAAGATTAAACAATGTGATTCCTTATCCGTGTTTGTTTTTTCAGTTTATCATGAATTTAAGTGGAATGTGTGTTTTACTGTTTGTTTTAGCCCTAATTTGACCCCCAGAAAACTACTGAGGTGGACTTGGAGAAGACCCTCAAGGGATTTAAGAAAGTGAAAAACCCAGTCGGAGGAAAAGTTTGACTCATCTGGGAAGACTGCACAGCTATCACCATCCTGTTTGAGAGAAAATAAAGAAAACGCAGATCTGGATCAAGGAAAAGTGAGCAGAATGACACAAAGACAAGGCTTGCTTTTTTAATCGAACACTTCTCTCACCGCTCTTACTCAACGTAGCACTGGCATCCTAGCTGGAGCAACTAGGCAAGACAAATTAAAAGGTACCCAAATTGAAAAGAACGAACAAAAACTGCTGTTTTACTTATATATTTTTACTTTACTATATATTTTAAATTTAATTTAATATATATAATAATTATATATATAATTTAATATATTTTTTACTTATATATATTTACTTATATATTCTTATAAACTGAAAATCCAAAGACTTAACTGTTGGATCTCAGTGAATTCAGTAAAGTCGCAGGATATGAAACCTATTACACACAAATCAGCTGCATTTGCACACACTAACAATGAAACATCTGGGGAAAGAAAAAACTATCTCATTCAAAATAGCATCAGAAACAGCAAAATACCTAGGAATGAATTTAACCAAGGAAGTGAAAGATCTGTATAATGAAAAATGTAAAATTCTGGTGGAAGAAGTGAGACACAAACAAATGGAAGGATACATTGCATTCACAGGCTGAAAGTAATAATGTCAAAATACCCATGCCATGCACAGCTGTCTGCAGATTAAACACAATCCCTATCAAAATGCCAATGGCACTTTTCACAGGAATAGAAGAAACAGAAATGCAAGGCCCCTAACAACCAAAACAACCAGGAGAAAGAACAGGTAGTATCACATTTCCTGATTTCGACTATACTACAAAGTTATAGTAACCAAAACAGTATAGTACTGGCTAAAAATAGACACAGACCAATGGAACAGAATAAAGAGACAGAATTAAAACCTCACATACACAGTTACCCAGTATTTGATGAGAGCCAAGGACATCAAACGGGGGAAAGTCTCTCCAGTGAATGGTGTTGGAAAACTGTATAACCCATGCAGAGAAACAAAACCGGATTGCTACCTTACAGCACTCACAAACATTAACTCAAAACAGATCGAGCACTTAAACACAGACCTGATGCTATAAAACTTCTAGAAGAAAACAAGGCAAGTTCTAAGACAATGGCTTTTTGGACAGGACATCAAAGGTACAAACAAAAGAAAAAAATCAACAAGTGGGACTACATCAAACTTAAAAGCTTCTGCATTGCAAAAGAAATAATTAAGAAAAATGAAAAAACCTATGGAATAGGAGAGAATATTTGCAAACCATGTTACCAGATAAGGGGTTAATATTCAAAATTTTATAAAGAACTCATACACGTCAAAAACAACAACAACAAAAATCTGGTTAAACCAGGGGCAGACAAACTCCCCAGACATCTTAAAGACATCCAAATGGCCAACAGGTACACGAAGAGGTCCTCAGTACCACTAACCATCAGGGCAATGCAAACCAAAACCACAGTGAGAGATCACCTCACACTTGTCAGAATGGCTAGTATCAAGATGAAAGAAATGTCACCAAAGATGTGGAGAAAAAGGAACATTTGTGCATGGTTGGTGGGACTGTTAACTGGTCCGGTCATTTTTGAGAATAGTATGGAGGTTCTTTGAAAACTTAAAATAGGGGCAACCCTCTCGGGTCCCCTCCCTCCTTGGGAGATTTGTACTATCACTTTGCTATTGCTCAATAAGCCTTGCTTTGCTGCCCACCAAAAAAAATTTTTAAATAAAGAAAAGGGCTCCTGGGTGGCTCAGTGGGTTAAAAAGCCTCTGCCCTCGGCTCAGGTCATGATCCCAGTGTCCTGGGATTGAGCCCCACATCGGGCTCTCTGCTCCGCGGGGAGCCTGCTTCCTCCTCTCTCTCTCTGCCTGCCTCTCTCTGCCTACTTGTGATCTCTGTCAAATTAATAAATAAAATCTTTAAAAAAAAATTAAAAACAGAACCACCATATGGTCCAATAATTCCGCTTCTGGGTATATAGATGGCTAAAGGAAATGAAAACAGGATCTCAGAGGTATCCGCACTCCAGGTTTATTGTAGCATCGTACACAAGAGACACGATGTGGTAACAACTGAAGTGTCTATCAAGGGAGAAGACACGGTATATACACAATGGACTATTATTCAGTCACGAGAGAAAAGGAAATGCTGTCATTTGTGACAATACAGATGGCCCTTAAGGAAATTATGCTAAGTGAGGTAAGTCAAACGCAGAAAGACAAATACTATATATTTTTATATGTGGAATCTTAAAAGAAAAACAAAAAACCAAACTCAAATTTGAGAGTGCAATGATGGTTACCAAAGGCTTGGGGGGGGGAATGTTGTTTAAGGGTATCTACTTGCAACTGGTAGATAAATAAATCCTGAAGATCTAATACACAGCACGGGGAAGAAAAGGAACAAAACTATTACAAACATTGAACTGGACAAGAGACTAGATCTTAACTGTTCCTACCATGAGGAACACCGGATACCACGAGGATATAGGTGCTAGTGCTACAGTGGCAATCATACTAGAGTGTAAATTCATCAGCGCAATGCTGTACACCTTAAACTCACACAGGGTTATATGTCAATCATATCTCAATGAAGAAAAAATTAGTGAATGAATAACTGAAGCCTTAAATGGTCTTAAAATGGTGCAGAAAATGTACCCATTCATATCTACGAACTTAGCTCCTTAGATATGAAATGACTTTAGGTGACAATATTTTTAGTGTTCTAACTTCTTTTAAATTTTGAGTGCTTCATCAATCGACTTCACATTTATCACAAAGACTTATGACCCTGACTGGCTAAGTCAGTGTTTTTTTAACAAAGAAGGATTTGGGTAAATACCCGCAGAGGCTGTCAAGTGCCCAGCTCTCCTGACACAGAATGGAAGTGACTGCGTAGGCCGGTTGAAGGGATGAGGCCCCCTCGCGCCCACCTGCCACCTCAAACAGAAACAACTGAAAACAAACTGTTATGGGTTTGCCGGGGACACCGGAAAGAAACCAAGAAAGTAGTCCTTCTTCTGTCACGTCTACTTCTTTCCTTCCTCCTCTCTTATGCCTTTTGTCTTTTTTAAATAATCTTCCATGATTGCTTCTCAGCACATACTAAGACTGAGTGCTAGCTGAAGGTTTTGTTAACTGCACCATAACCACGAGTTTCCTCTCCTTTTTCCACTAGTTTTCTCCTTTCTCATTTGGAGAGTAAGGTCCTAGCAAAATCAACTTCCAACAGGACCCTTTGGAAGACAGTAAGTGACGATCTGCTTTGGAAGATTTTCTCACAACGATGACACTTACAGGGTTTCTCTTTGGTATAACTTCTCAGCTGCCGAGTGAGATGTTTCCTCCGGCAAACATTTTCCTCAGGAGTTATATTCTCCCCAGTATGAGTTCTCAGGTGTTGACTGAGCTAAGTCCACCTGCAAAAGGCCTTCCCACATCTCTTCCACTCACAGGGTTTCTACCCAGTAAGAACACTTCAGGGGCAGGTGAGGGATGAATGAAGGTGGAGAGTGTGTCCACAGTCACTGTATCCACGAGGTTTTCCCCACTGTGACTCCTCGTGCCGAGCTAGGGAAGAGCGGTCACAAAAGGCTCTCTGATCTTTACACTCAAAGGATTTCCCCCAGCGCAGATGCTCTTAATGCCAGGAATAAAAATGGTGAATGAAGGCCTTCCCACCTCACTGCCCTCAAGCCTTCTCTCCTGGGGAAACCCTTACATGAGGAGTGAGAAAACAGCAGACACAAAAAGCTTAGCCCATATATTCTGTACTTGAAGAGACTCTCTCTCAGGTGCGGGAAGTTATTTTGGACAAAAGCAGAGCCATCCCACAGTTTCCCGTATTCCTTGCATTCACAAGGCCTCTCCCAGTGTTAGTCAGCTGTGCTGCAGGAGGTCTGACCTGCAGCTGGAGGCCTTCCCACACTTGGAAGTACTCCCCTGGCTTCACTCAGTGCAAATCCTCCCATGCTGACCTAGGCCTGCCCTCTCAAGAAAGGCTTTCTCACATTCACCGTGGTCACAGGCTTCCCTTCAGCATGATCTGCTGATGTCGAACAACCACGCCAATATTTGTTAAACATCCACTTGTACGAGTTCTGCCCATAGACCACGGAAGCTTTCTGTGGGGTGAGTGGTTCACAGAAAGCACTCCCCTCCCCGAGAGACTCACTCCCATGAAAGTGTTGAAGGCAGATTAGCAGTTCCCATACCCATGTGCTCAGAGCTCACCTTCCTGGGAGGACTCTCCTTGTGGGAAAGTGTCCCAGGCTCTGGAGCCTTTCCTGCATCTCCAATGGCCCCTGTTGTTCCCAGGTTCACCACAGCCAAGAGTCCCTTGAGATGCTCTGAGTCAACCAACCCATGAGCGAGGTTGCCTCCTAACAAGTGGAAGGCTTTATGGTCTCAGATTATGATCTCTTACCTAAAGGAAATCTGATATGCAAAAGGCCTCCCCACACTCAGGGCCCCCGTGTGGTTTCTCCCCACTGCAAGGGGCCTGCAGCTGGTAAGTCCAGAGCTGACCACAAAGTTCTTCCAACCCTCCCTGCAAGTAAAGGCCGTCTCCAACACCTGGGATCTGTAGATCTTCACAAATCAGGCCTGGCTCCTTTCCTTTCTGAAGAAATTCTCTCCACTCTGCGGCCTCTGCATCTGGTCAAGGTTTATACTACCACAGGAGTCTCTCCCACAGTGATGCACATGGCGGTGTTTGGGTGCTGCTCAGATGGTGTTCCCTGTGGCTCAGCCGGGTGCAAAGATGTCTTTCAAGACCGGGTCACACATGTCACAGGGATGAGCCTTTTGGATGGAAGGACCTGCCTTGGGAGTTCCCATCTGTGACACTCACAGAAACACCCTGCTCAGAAGGTGCAGCCTCACCCCTCACACCACGCCATCAACCTGAAGAAAGATAAAGGTGGGGAAGTGCATGTTTAATGGGTGGCAAGTGGCAGGCCATGACACATGCATGTCTGATACAACCAGGAACGAGTCCATGGGACAGCCGAACGTGGGAGCTAGCGTCAGGATCAGGAAGGGAAGGTTGCAGGCCTCTACAGGTCAGGGAATGACAGAGACCTCACAGGAAAAGGGTACAAGGACAGAGTACAGTACGAGGAGGGGCAGGGTCTCCAAATCACTCCTCTGGCCAATGATCTCCCAGCAAGGCCTTGTGGTAGATGAGTGCTGTGCAAAAGGGTCTGTCCAGGGCCAGAAAAATCTGGCTGGAATGGAATACTTCGTTTTCAAGGAAAATTGAAGGATGTGAGCACAACTCATGACAGTGTTAAATGAAACCCAATGCTGCAGAGTACCGAGAGAAGATGGGGGGCAGAGGGAAGGGACTAACTACCTGAGATCAGAGTACAAATGACAGTGGGCAGAGCATCCAGATGGGGAAGGAAAAGGAGGGAGGTCAGCCATAGGTACCAGCGTCCGAATACCAGGAGACACAGCACGGGCTGCTGGTATAATGTGAAGCCAGCCCCAATGCGACCATTCCCTCGGCTTCCACTCACCAGGTCCAGCCTCCTCCAAGTCTTCTTTGCTGTAGCTGGAGCTGTGTTTACCTTCTCAGGCACCCTGGGCTCCCCTCCGGCTCCATCTGGGTAACTACGTGGGACCTGGAAACAGCAAGTCCTAAAGGGAAAGAAGAGCCGCTGAGTGGCTGGCAGCACCCCAGGGCAACGTTCTCCAAAAAGAAGATTAAATATTTAAAAAAGAATCTTGGAAAAGTGTCTTGCAGGAACAGCTCACTGTTCTTCACGAGGAATGATCATGTCAGTGCCTGCAATTCCTGGCACAGTCATGCCCCAGGAAAAGTCAATTAGAAGAATGGGTAAGAATGTAGGCAGAGAGAAGGTGTTGGGACACCCAGTCGAGGTGTGGCCAGGCCATATGGGATCCGCTGGGCAGACCGCAAGACTCCTGACCCCCAAACTCTTCGTTTGAAAGCTTTGGGACAGGAGAGATTGGGGCTGCAGCAGAACATGAGCCAGTGCCCACTGCCCAGCCCCTGGACCCACACCACCTACCCCAGGGAGCCAAGGAAAATGGTCGGTTGTGCCATGACAGTACTGTAAGACTGAGAGCTGCCCTTTGGAAAGAAAGGGAAGAACAAAACTCAGCCCAAGAAACTGGTAATCATACTATCCCCTGCTGACCATGTTCTTGAATATGGGCTGAACTGAAAACTCCTTTTTAATGAAAAGAATATGGCAAAAATGATAGGATGTCACTTCTGAGAACAGACTACGAAAACACCAGCCTCTACGTTGGGTGCTGTCTCTTGCTCGTGCTCCTGGAAATCAGCTACCTTGTTGTGATCTGCTTATGGAGAAGACCCATGGCAAGAGCCTGAGGGAAGGCTCTGGCCAAAAGCCAGCAAGCAAATGACTAGTTAGTCCAACAGCCTCCTGCTCAAGTGCGTGACCTTGAAAAGAGATTGACCTCCAGCTGAGCCTTCTGATGAGAGAGCAAACTTGGACAGCTTGACTCAAGGTTATGAAAGACCTCGAGCTAAAGGTACCCGAATAAGATATGCCTGATTCTTGACCCAGAGACTGTGAGACGGTGTTTGTCTTCACTCCACTAAGCTTTGGGATAATTTGTCATGTAGCAACAGGTAACTAAAGCAGGGACTTACCCAGCGAGGACACAAGTGCGAAGTTCTCCAGCATCACATCACGATACAGGAGTCTCTGGGCTTCCTCAAGGAGCTCCCACTCCTCCCGGGAGAAGTACACGAACACATCCTCGAAGGTCACACAGCCCTGTCACGAAGGGGGACAGTTGAGCCCACAGGCAGCAGGGACCCCCAGTCGATCCACTCACACAACCACCCCTGGTGCCTCTCCTCTCGGCCTCCCACCTCAGACAAGATAGCAGGCTTTGGTGCCACCAGTGCCTGCTCTCCCCTCCTGTCTCTCTGATCACTGCGAGCCGCCCAGAGCCAGGCAGGTGGGCAGACAGATACCGTGTAAGCTGTGGGTCTGCCGGGAAGGGCACCAACTCTCTGGCCGTCCTCCAGACCATGCCTCCCAGACACAACCACACTGGGCTTCGCCTTCTCCCGGAAGCTCTCAGCACTAGGGCCTTAATGCTCTCAGTTCGCATCCTACCGAGCCTCCACTCTGTGGCCAGGGGAAGCTGCTGAGAGAAATCTATGTCAAACCACCTTGGTCCTCAGCTCCAGACTTTCAGAAGAAAGGCCCAGCGTGCGGGGCTGCCCTTCCCCTGCCCTCTGTTCCCGTCGGACCCACTGCAGACCCTGCTCTCTCCCAGCTCAATCTCGCTCCCAGTACTGGCCCATGCCCGCGCTCGTGCCTCCGTCCCCCTTCCGAGTGTTACTCCACCGGCCGCGGGCAACGGGAACGTCCCCACGTTATCTCACCTGCGCCAGAAGCGACCTCCCCCAGGGCCTCCACGGCCGAGAAAATGCGAGATTAAATCGAACCCCGCCCCCCCACCGGCCATGAGGAGGGGCGGCGCCCGTGAGGGTGAGACACGGAGGAGGGCGTGGGGGGCAGGCCGGGACGACGCTCCGCTCACCTGCGCGGGATTCATTCGTGCTGCCGCCCCTGACACGCCAGGGGTCCTGGTGGGCTGAGCAGGGCCCGAGAGGCGGGAGACCAGGTGGGTCCCGAGGGCTCAGCTTGGGCGGGGTCGGCCAAAGCCAGTGTGGCGTGTGGCGGCCCGAACCGCGCTCTAAGATGCTGTGAGAGGCTCACGGGGGCCGGGCCGCCACCTCCCGGGGCCTGGGCGACGGAGCGCGGGGACCTCGGAGGAGGAGCGGCGCCGGCGGCGCCCGTCCCACAGGTGGGCCACAGTCTCGGGGAGAGGGGGCGGACGCCGGGCGTCACGGCTGGCCCAGGGCGCGGAGGCGGTCCCGCCGCGTCACTCCCCCGCCCGGCGCGGCCTGGAGTGCCCCGGCGCGCGCTCCCGTCCACGCGGTCGTGGCGCGACCAGCCGCCGCTCAGTCAGGGATGCGCCCCTGCGGCGCGGCCGGAAGTCCCGCCCCTCGCGCAGGAAGCGTCCCCGGGCGGTCTGCGGCGGGGCGCTCGGGGCGGAAGCCCATAGCCCATGTTTCTGGTTACTGTGCATTAGGGACGGGTGCAGTCCTCGGGACTACGACGGGGCCAGCGGGGGAACAGAGCCCAGGCTCCCCGGTGCAGAGAAGCGTCCGCACTCCCGCAGGCGAGGGGCGAAGGCCCCCCCGAAGCCAGGCGGGGCGGGAGCGGAGGTCGTCTGCGGCCAGCGCGCCCCGGTGCGCGTGAGACTGTGGGTGGGCGCAGCGGGTCGAAGGGCCCCGCTTCCGGTCCCAGGTTGGGAACCCGGGCTCTGCGTGATTCGGACGGGAACGAAGTCCCTCGCGGGATTTAACGTGCCCCTCACGCGGTTAGTTCCCGTTAGGTCACTCGCTGTTAGCTGTACCATGCCAGGCTGCGGGAGGCCAAGTCGCGCTGGCTCTTTGCGGGATCCTGGGCATTGTTGATCTAACAAAATACGACGACTTCTTGACCGGAAAGTAGCCTCACAGGTATTGATTAAAAATTTCACATAAAGCACAGATTTGAACTATTTGATTTATTTAGTTGTTTCTTAAACAGCGTGGCAGGAGAGCGTCTTAAACTACAGAGAGGCAAGCTGCCCAACACAGGCGTTACGACAGGCCCCAGGACTCAGATCTTGGCTCATCAAGGCAAGCGGACAGTGGAACTGACGGGACCCGTCGTCTAGTTCACAGTAGCCCGGCCCTGCGTCTCCCCTCTGACCTTCGTCCTGCCCTTCTGACTGCTTAGGGCAAATAAGTGATCATGAAGCTCGGAGGCTTTCCGTCATGATGCTCTGTCTTTATCAAAACACTGTCACCGGGCGCCTGGGTGGCTCAGGTCATGACCCCGGAGCCCTGGGATGGAGTCCCGCGTCGGGCTCCCAGCTCCACAGGGAGTCTGCTTCTCCCTCTGACCTTCTCCTCTCTCATGCTCTTTCTCAAATTAGTAAATAAAAATCTTAAAAAACAAAAACAGGGGCGCCTGGGTGGCTCAGTGGGTTAAAGCCTCTGCCTTCGGCTCAGGTCGTGATCCCAGGGTCCTGGGATCGAGCCCCGCATCGGGCTCTCTGCTCGGCGGGGAGCCTGCTTCCTCCTCTCTCTCTGCCTGCTTCTCTGCCTACTTGTGATCTCTCTGTCAGGTGAATGGATAAAATCTTAAAAAACAAAAACAAAAAAACACTGTCACCGTCAGCCCACCCCCTGAACTTGCAGCCCCGAAAGGAGTACTAAATCCTGGGCGGTGTGAAATCTAGAACCACTGAGGATATCCCCAGAATTGTGCACAAACGTGAGAACAGTTAAGACACAATTTCACCATCACTTCTGCCTATATCCAACTGGCCACAGCTCATTCACATGGTCCCAAAATAAGTTTAAGAAGAGCTGAGACATGCTGTCCTCCCGGGAGTCCAGTCAGGGAAAATGCGATTGGTAAGCATCCAGCCACCCTAGGTCACAATCCGTCAATTTGGTCATCAGATATGTATTTTATTATTTCTCCTATGGATTCTACACTGTCACTTATTATTCCAACAACTCAAGCCCCATCTAATTCCTGAGCCCATCTCACAGTTACAATCTCTAGTGTGTCGTTCAAATACTATTCTTTAACAACAGGAAACTATCAACACACAGTAAGTTGCTTCCACTCATTTCCGGTATACAGTGGGTCAGGAACACATGGAACAACACAGTGAAGGTGCCAAAAAAATAATCGTCCACAAAGATTTCAATACTCCACAAAACAGTATTTTTGAAGAAAGAGCAGGAAATAAGACAATATGAAGCCAAAAATGAAAAATATAATAGAAACCTAAGCCATACAAAATGAATCCTGAAGTTTAAAGTTTAAAGTGATCCCTGGTAAAAGGTCTGCACTGACAGAAGGAAGGAAGATCCAAGAGAGATGCATCTGTGGATTAATACAATTATTCGCTATCTATAAAATACATGAACGGTATCTCCTTGTTGAATAGAATGATAGAATTGCCATGCAATTCTCAATAATTCCCCTTATATTGTGCAAGAAAAGAGTAAAGGTATTAACACTACATTCTGTTGTTAGACGTGTCTTATAATTTTTACCTTAAATATTAATAAAATAGGGCCACATACATTCCCAACTAAAAGCAATGTTTAGAAAGCAAATAGTCTATACAAATTTTTTTTAAGATTTTATTTATTTATTTGACAAACAGAGATCACAAGTAGGCAGAGAGGCAGGCAGAGAGAGAGAGGAGGAAGCAGGCTCCCCGCCGAGCAGAGAGCCCTATGTGGGGCTCGATCCCAGGACCCTGGGATCATGACCTGAGCTGAAGGCAGCGGCTTAACCCACTGAGCCACCCAGACTTCCCAGTCTATACAAATTTTTAAAGGAAAGTGTAAGAAACAGAACTGAAGCAAAGATAAGAACAAAACAGGAAGATGCATTTGAACCCAAATATCCCAGCCAGCACAGGACATGAGGAATAAATGCTTGAATTAGTAGTCAGTTATTTTTGGTGGGTTGAAAAACATCCCACAATAATCAGTTTATAAGCCACACTTCTAAGATACGATGTTACAGAAATTGAAGAAATAAAAGAGAAATATATAACTATTTTTAAAGATTTTATTTATATATTTGAGAGAGAGCCAGCAGGGATGGGGGTGGGGATGGAAGTGGGGTAAGGGGGTGGGGCAGAGGGAGAAACAGAGAATTCCAAGCAGACTTAGCACTGAGCTCAATCTCCCCACCCTGAGATCATGAAGCCAAAATCATGAGTTGGACGCTTAACCGACTAAGTCACCCAGGCACCCCTATAGCTAATAATTATTAGACAAAAACACAAATATTTATATTTGTATTGGAAAAATTGATATAAGGAAGAAAACAGCTGGAAGACATACTTTAAAACTTGTATACAATTTTTTTTTTTAAGATTTTGTTTATTTGAGAGAGAGAGCATAGCAGGGGGAGGAGGGTAGGGAAAGGAAGACGGACAAAGGACTCCATGCTGAGCATGGAGCTGGGCATGGGGCTCAGTCCCAGGACTGTGAGATCATGACCTGACCCGGAGTCAGATGCTTAACTGACTGAGCTACACAGGTGCCCCTAAAATTGGTATGTAATTCTTAGCATCAATTCAAACTATGTAAAAAAAATATATTTTTACTCTAAGAATAAAGGGTTAAATGTGGGATATTTTACTATGATTTTTGAAAGGCAGGCATAATATTGGTAAGTTTCCATTAGAGTCACACACCAAGATGGACAAATCTGACCTGAAGGATACATACAGAAATGTAGACACTGACTATAGGAGGTTTGCTTTTTAGCACAAACTCAATATGTATGAAACTGACTATATACAGAACCATAAAAAAAAGGGGGGGCACCTGGGTGGCTCAGTCAGTTGAGCGTCTGACTTGAGATTCTCTCTCCCTCTGCTCGTCCCCTCGCTCATGCTCACTTTCTTAAATAAATAAGTAAAATATTTTTTTAAAATCCCTCTTTGGGGCACCTGGGTGGCTCAGTGGGTTAGGGCCTCTGCCTTTGGCTCAGGTCATGATCCCGGGGTCCTGGGATGGAGCCCCGCATTGGGCTCTCTGCTCAGCGGGGAGCCTGCTTACCCCCTTCTCTGCCTGCCTCTCTGCCTACTTGTGATCTCTTTCTGTTGAATAGATGAATGGAATCTTTAAAAAAAATTAAAAGGCCCTCTTTAACTGCATAGAATGAAATAAAGAATGCATTCAGGATAGAGATTAGCAACAGAAAATATCCGAAAAAAACTAAAGATATGCTTGGAAAATTGAGTTCCAAAATACTAAATAACCCATGCCTAAAGAAAGTGAAGATAATCAATATTGAACTATGCATTTTGAAAATGACATCCCCAATGCCAACTTGGCGGGCCTTTTATAAATAGCATAATGGACGGTATTCAGACAAGCTCGGAGAAATAGACGCGGTCTGTGCTTGAGTATGGGCTTGGGTTCATCATCAGAGTTCTCTGCACTTCAGTTTTCATATTACGTTGAAGGGGTTTCCATGGTTCTTTAAAGTGCTCAACCTCTATTTTTCAAAGCATACTTTTGTTTTAAAATTCTTATAGAATATTCAACGTGAAGCTTTGCTTTACAGTGTGCCAAAAATGATGATACCCCTACATATTCTCATGAGATGCAATTAATGAATTCCATTAAAAGGAATACCCTTTAATGTATATAAGGGTGATAATGAGACAGACATACATTCATCTCAAAAACCTTTAAAAATCACAATAATAACAACAGGCAATACAAAAAAGGCATGTGTAAAGCATTATCCCATTCATATAAATTTCAAAATCCAACAAAAATACAATAACCACTATTAGTAATACACATTTAAGGTGTCAAACTATGAAGAAAAGTAAGAAAATGAGTAAAGCAAAATTCTGGACGGTGTTCTTCGAAGTGAAGGATAGAATTTGCAATCTCACAGGCTCATCCATGGCATGCTAACATCGCTAGGTTCCATTTTTTACTGGGGTGGGGGATGCATTTCTACTTATGACATTTATCTTTTTCCTCCTTTTTCATACATGTCCAATTCAATGAGATTAAATAGACAAATCATAGAAGTATAGCTTGGACACTATTTATGTGTTTCCCATGCAACCCCTAGCTGTACAGAGAGAATATTTCCAGTAACTTCTCAGACAAGTATTTGCCTCCCCTCAGTTAATACTATGCGAACATGACCTTTATTATGTTCTCAATCACCATGTATTAGGTTTTCTTGGTTATGAACCTATCTATAAAATTCTGCAGAATTTACTACTTTGTGTCCAATGTACATTGCCCCTCAGAGCATTGCGGGATGAAGGCAGCAGTCTGAATCTGTTTTCTTCCACTGAATCAAAGGTAGAAATTAAGCACCTTTTTTTTTTTTA